TTAAGATCCATCTTCCTCTGCTCTGCTCTTCTTTGATTTTTCAGCTACGTTCGTTCGAGGGGTTTTGGGGGTTTTACGAACTGTCAAAATTACCAAAAGAATATCTTTTAAAAGGGAAAAAGTGTATATACTGCCGAACTATCGTACATCGGGATATTTTTTAGGCATTAATACCGCTATCATTGTACTTTCGTACTTTTGAGATATTACCATTATACTTTAGGGAGATTGGTGCCCTCTCTTTTCATTATAGCAAAAAATATATGTGTTTTAATTTATGGATAACAAGAACATTAATGTCTATATTTATCCTTTTTTTCTTTTAAAATAAATAATTATTTTTTATGACAGGGAAGAAATCCCACTCCTTGTATTTTTAGGTGCATATTCGCTAAAATTCGTTTTTTATAAATAGCTAGCAAATTGTATAGGAGATATAACATATCTTTTAAAATAAATAATTTAGATATAGTTGCATCGTTTAATCATGTGATATAAAGTCATAATTTAAAAGTATGAGATAAAGTTAAATGTTATATTTTTTTTCCATAAACATACAAACATTATTAATTAAAATTGTTTTAATTCTTATACAAATTTATGTACAAGTTAATAAAAACGCGTATTATACTACCACAAAAAAAAAAAATTTAAAAAATAATATTTAATGATGAAACTTTAATTCAATTGAAAAAAATTAAACATAAGTTGTGGTGTACTAGTTTTAAATATAATCCTCCCACATAGTACGACAATCTTATTACATTAAACTTGCATTTCTCATTCATATGGCTAAAAAGATAAACCAAAACATTGTTACAATTATTTGTTGGTCAATTTGATTGGTAAATATATTTGATAAAAAATAATGAATTTGATGAATATACATGATAAAGTATAAATTGATTTGAAGTAATTAGTAAACTAGTAAATATAGCAATACTTCGCACGGTCATAAAATTTTCTTACCTTTTTTTTTTTATAAAATAATCGTCTTCTATTATTTCAATCATTAATATCCAAAAGATCGATTTTTATACGTAAAAAATTTATTTGAGAAGATGGTCTAAGCACACAAGTTTATCGACTCTTTAATCTCAAGAGCGTTGATTTTCAGAATGATTTGTTGTCGTTCACCTGCCGAATAAGTTTCAAAAACTAAAATAAAACATCAAGCCAAAACATAATTTCAAAAGTAAATAAAATAAAATTACCTTAATAAAACAATAATGAAAGACTACGAAATTTTTTGTCAAAATCGTAACGAAAAATTAAACAAATTTTTTTACATAAAAACATGTTTTTATCACCTTATATGTGTATTTTATTTTTCAAGTATGATGTTACAGCATCATTCTCGCAAGTAATAACATTATTGTTCAAAATGATTATCTCGAAAGATATGTATACGTTAATATTTAATATCATAATTTTTGATGTTATTATTTTTAACGTGGTATATGATATATATTTTAATTTTTTGATATTTTTTGTAATATTTGATATTAGAAATAATATATCGAAATATTGAATATTATATTGAAGTATATAGTTACGTAAATAACATATATAGATATATTATTATTGTTATTATTATTATATTATTTAAATAATAATAAATATGCATCGTAGTATAAGTATAAACTAAATATTAAAAAGTAAAACTTTGACTACTCTACTTTGATCGAAATGTATTTGATTTTGAATTGATTAACAAAGTGAGTTGTTCGTACTTTATTTTGCATATATACTTTTACATGTATAATGTGTTACTATAATATAATTGAGATATTTTTTTAATTGTCGAAATCATAATACTCTACTGTACAAGGATATATTAGTTGAAGTTGAACAAATTATGATTACCAATTTACCATATCGTAAAAAATTGAAACTCAACTTCAATATACTGAACCATACCAAATTAATATGATAATGCTATACTGTTTAAAAACCAAATATCAAAATCATGGTATCAAAATTTTCAAATATCATACTGTACCATACCATGTCATCCTAACCTCGTTAACATTCATAATAAGTCTAATATCAAATACTTCCTCCATTTAAAAAAAAATTATTTAACTTGACTTGACACAAAATTTAATAATAATAAAAAAGAAACTTATGATCTAAAATTAAAATTATATAAATATATTAAAATACCCTTTTATGTTAAAGTATTACCTAAAAAGAAAATAAAGTTATTATTTTTAAAATAAATTAAAAAGAAAAATGAGTAATTTATTTTGATTGGAAGGGAATAAATACAAGGTATGATTTCATTAGCATTTATTCTCTCTATATATGCTTCGTCCATTTTTAATTATTATAATTTTTATGTTTAGAGTTAAATTATAAGAATTTTGACTAAGATTTTAAGATGTATTTTTTTTATATCATTGATATGCAAATAAATGCAATTTATAATATTTTTCATATAATTTTTAAATATCTAAATTTTTTATTTAAAATCAAATCAATATAATTAATATAAGTTTAAAAATAGATCAAATTAATTTTCAAAAAACGCAATAAATAGAAGTGGCCGGAGTAAGCATTTTCCACCTATTCTTATCTGAAATTCTTGGCTCTCCTCTTTGTTTCTTCCGCATGGGCTCATGGCCAGTGGCCTAGCAAGGACATACACAAATGTGTGGTCTATCAATCTTCGTATTTTGACTATTTCTTTTTACCTTTTCTTTTAAAAATAAATTCTGTCCATAAATTAATTGTAGAAGATGACACAACCAATGTGTTTGTTGTATATCTGAAAGCCACAAAACACTTTTCTAGTTTTATCAGTCACCACTTTTATTCTGTATTTGCATTTTAATGGAGTTCTGAAGATTTTTTATTTTTATTTTTTAAAAGAAGATTTGAACTTTTATTAACAAATTTAAGATTCAGCCATGCAAGCTGTCAAAGCTTCTTCCTTTTCACCATTTCACCTCAACTTGAACTCAACCAGTTCATTTCCCAAAACTACCAACTTGTATATTCAACAAAATTATGAAAACCCCATTTCTTGTTTTCCCTCAATTCAGACACAAAATGCAAAATTCAAGGTTTTTACTGCTACTTCCCCAAGTGTTTCAACAGAATCAGAAACCCCATTTGATGAAAAGACTGAAAATGAAAATCAAGAAGAGAAATTTGAGTGGTATGCTGAGTGGTACCCAATAATGCCAATTTGTGATCTTGATAAGAGGAGGCCACATGGAAAGAAAGTGATGGGGATTGATGTGGTTGTGTGGTGGGATAGGAATGAGAAAGAATGGAAAGTAATGGATGATTCTTGTCCTCATAGATATGCTCCACTTTCTGAAGGAAGAATTGATCAATGGGGAAGATTGCAGTGTGTGTATCATGGTTGGTGCTTTAATGGAGCTGGTGATTGTAAGTTGATCCCTCAAGCTCCTAGGGATGGCCCTCAGGTAATATTGGTTTTCTACTTTTGATTATGGCCTTTATAGACTGTCTTTTTGTTGTAATGATCATATCAAGTGTTTGCAAAACAAAGAAGTTTGGTGTTGATTAACTTGGCTAAAAGTGAGGAGGATAATAGAGATACCCTTTTGTTGCTTGTAGACCCAACTTTTGCACTGTTAACCAGGTATCAACATTTTTAATTCTATAAATGTCAATTCTGTTCAATAAAATGGTGGAGTTTTTGCGTGAGAACATTTAAATATAGCTTCACACTGTGGGATGAGCTGTGTGATCTTGAATACTCGTGTTTGATTTCACTGAATTTGATAATCTTGATTTGCTCAGGAAAAGTCTGAAAGTTATATAGGGGGTGTTAAATGTTGCGAAAATGCTTGTTCATTTGGAGATGCATTGAAAGACAACACTCTACCCATACTAACCTTTTAGCCTTATACGCGACCTCCACTCTTTCCTAGCTAGAGTCATGTCCTTGGTAATATGAAGTTGCGTCATGTTTTGTATACTCACCTCTTCCCAATACTTCTTCGGTCTACCTCTACCTCTCATCGTACTCCCTATAGCCAACATCTATTACACCTCCTCATTAGAGCGTCATCGCACCTTCTCTTCACATGTCCAAACCATTTGAGACTCCATTAAATAATAACTAGACCAAATTATTAATGAAATAGTTATATCAGTATGGTCAAATATCAATTCCAATTCCAGTGCTAGAGCACATAATTTACTGTTGTCATCATTGGTCAAGGTATAGATCAACCATTTGTTTTTTCTTTCTGCTATTCTGAAGGTTTTCCTAGGAAACTTATAGGTAAAGAACTCGAGCATTTTGCATTTTGACATCGTACTTTTCATGCACAGTTCACCATGACATTTATTTGAAGACTTAATCAACTCGGTTCACAATTAAAAGGATAATAACCTTGTGATCATAGCTTACCACCTTTACCTGTGTGACCTTAGTCCTTTATAATGGTGATTGGGACTTCGTAAGAACTGGTGAAGGCTTTCTATCTTTATTGACTGATGAAAGATGATGACAACTCTCATAATTAATAGTCCTGGATATTCTTTTATTTTGTTTTTTCACCCTTTTTCTTGTGAATGTGAATCTTCATTTTCCAAACATGGGAAGTTTGTGTATTGTGTACTTCTCGGAAATGCTTATAGATAAGCACTAGTATTTGACAACAATTTTACAACAGTATTTGCATTAGCTTTACACAAGTTAACTGGGAATGACATTTTTGTATTAGTCGTGCAGGTTCATACGTCCAAAAGAGCTTGCGCAACTGTTTATCCAAGTTGTGTGCAAAATGACATTCTTTGGTTTTGGCCGAACTCTGATCCTCTATACAAGGACATATATTTGATGAAAAGGCCTCCCTATATACCTGAACTTGATGACAGTTCGTTTTCGAAAACTTTCATAGTCAGAGATATATCATATGGGTAAGCAGACACAGATATATCCTGCTACCTTTTGTGGAGAAAGCCTTCACAAACTGTTTCACTTTTACTGAACAGAAAAAAACGTTTCTTTCTAAGTTGCTCGGACTCTCCAAAAATGTTGCCAAACCCGTGTCTGATCCTTCAAAAATACATTATTTTTGTAGGACACCTATGGACCTTTTTGAAGAGTTCGAGCAACATAGGTTTTTTTATAGAGGGGAAGAGGGGGTTGGGAAGCCTATAGAATCTAAAAGGCCATCAATAGAGGAAAGAAGGAGAAATTCAAACTTTATAATGTGAACAAGCAACTATGTAAAAATGTAATTTCAATCTTAACATTGTACAAGGATAAATCACTGTGTAATAAATTATGAGAAACTTGTGTGACAAAAACTACCTACTTTTTTATTTAATTTTAGTTATAATCTGTAACAAAATCTGGTAATTTTCAGGTATGAGCTTCTGATTGAAAACCTTATGGACCCAGCTCATGTCCAATATTCACATTATGGCATTATGAATGTTCCAGTAGCCCCCCAAAGATAAGAAGCTTATACTATTTCATACACATTTTATTCTATATTCTTTTCTTTGCATGTGTAAATAACTTCATGACTAACAGAATTGTTTATTCACTGTGAAAGCTGATCGAGAAGGAGGAAGACCACTTGACATAACTATCACGAAGTTGGATGTAAATGTCATTACTGCAAACCAGGGACCTGGACGGAACACATTTGTTCCGCCTTGTGTGTATTATAGTTATTTTGCTTTCGGAGGATCTCAGGGAAAAACAACTGCTGTATCATCTGGAACTGTACAGGTAATTCTTGTGCCTTCCATATTATTAGTCTTTTTTCAACATTTATTTGGTACTCTTTGCAGCAGTTTAAATAAATATTTCGTGCAGGAAAAACCTTCAGCTGAGAAGCAGAAAAAAGCACTTTTAGTTTTCATCTGTATTCCGGTTAGTCCAGGTCATAGCAGAATTATATTTGCATCTCCAAGAAACTTTGCCACTTGGGCAGATCGAATAATTCCACGTTGGATATTTCACCTGGGACAAAATCTAATTCTGGATTCTGATTTGTATCTTCTTCATGTGGAGGTAAATCCATTCTTTATTGCATCTTTTCCATTTCTATTGTGTACTTGTTAAATTTAGCTGTCCCTCAGAAGGTTGTTAGCTTAAAAAAAAGAGAAGACTTGTGATTTACACATCCCTGAAGCTTTAGAGATGTTTACTATGCAAGGACCCTTTTCGCGTCCCATGAAAAGGAAACAAGCATATATGTTGAGCTAAATTTGTTGAAACCCCTTCAAGTTACCAGACGGAAAGTTTTAGATTTATGGTCAAACTCAAGAGTGGAGATCCCATAGCTTTTTTCTGCTTCTCAGCTGAAGGTTTTTCCTTCTCCAGAATCTAAACTGGCATAGCTTCTGGAGCTGGAACTATCAATAGGAACTTCTCTATACTGTTACTTTTAGGCAATATCATGATTCGATGCTATTTTCACTACTCTTGTATACTACTCAACAAAGTAACTCTAGACATGTGAACCGCTTTTTTCCGACTCTAATCTTCTAACTTGTCTCAAGTTGTGTTAAAAGCTACTGGAATACTTTTCGATGGAAAGCTGAGGATGTGTGGGATTTATTTCATCAAAAACTTTTAGTTTCTACCAGTCCATTCCCCTTTCTTCACTTTCTCCTTTTCTTCTTGTCTGCGGCTTTACTCTCCCCATCTGTTAATATTTATGTTGTGGTTGTCTTTTTACTCTGTGCTTTACTTTTGACAATCAAATGAAATGAACAACAAAAACAACCATACAGATAGCCAAATAAACACCTTTAGTTGCACGGGATTGTTCCAGCTCTCCAACTTCACGAGGCTTCATCCACCTGTTCAAAATTAGCCTAGGAGTTCAATGCTCATGTTACCACCTTTTACTTCAAACAATAAATCTTGAGCATAGTCTCGCTATTGGAACATATTGCATGACTGTTTGTAAGTTAGATTCCGGTGAAGCGTTGGTGCTTTTAGGTGAAAATTTCCATTTACAATATGACGAGTTGTCCTTTCTCATTCAATTTGTTTTCCATTATGAAGGAGCGCAAGCTAAAGGAAATTGGCTCTTACAATTGGCATAAAGCTTGCTATGTGCCAACAAAGGCAGATGCCATTGTTGTTGCTTTTAGAAGGTGGCTAAACAAATATGCAGGTGGTCAAGTTGATTGGCGTGGAAAGTACAATGGAGACCTCCCGCCAACTCCTCCAAGGGAGCAGCTGCTGGACAGGTTCGTACATTGATTCCCACACTTCTAATATAGATTCTTCATTAATTCTAGTGTAAACAAGTTTTGGACCTGTAAGGATAGACTTTCGAGAACCTTTTAGAGACGAAGACGTTGGGTTAAAAGTGTAAATGATATGTTTATACTTCCTTTCAGGTATTGGACTCATACAGTGAGTTGCACAAGTTGCAATCTCGCATATAAAAGTCTCAATGCTCTTGAAGTCGTACTGCAGATCGTCTCCATTGGTGCCATTGGAATTGTTGCTGCTTTAAAGCAGGGCACATTGTCTGCGGTGACAAGGTATTCCTTGGTCACCGTTGCATTACTATGCTTCGTGGCCTCGAGATGGTTATCTCATTTCATATACAAAAATTTCCATTTCCACGATTACGACCATGCCTTTCGTTAACACTTGAGTACTTTCATATGACTGAACATTCACTGTATAAACATATTCCTTGTAGTTGAAATTTGCAGAAAAGTTTGTTAAATGATCTGTTGGGGTGGGCATGTTACGGTACCGTAACTCCCGTATTCGGTATGTAGCGTACTATACCGAAAACCACAACAAATTAGCTTGGTATGGTTCGGTATATTTAATTTTGGTTTTGGTATTTTACATAATGGTATTCGGTAATCATAACTTCGACTTACATATATTTATAATTCTCCACACTTAGTTAGCAACTACGTTAAAACTCTTCTCGTTGTCCTTTAGGAAGTGTTCTTGCAAGATCAATATGATGATCAACATATGAGAAATTCAAAAGCACAAGTCTCAATCATATTAGATCAACAACATGCTTTTTGTTAAATAATTTCACAATCAATAATAATCGAGTAATCATAGATGCAAACTTTAAATAACATTATCTAAAATTATGCATAGTCCTATATAATTTTACATCACAAAAATCATTCACTAACATGCAGACTCTAACTTGACATAGTGATAGAGCCGTCAATATGAGTTAGGCTCGTTGGGCATAGCCTGGACTTACTCGTGATTTGATAGGGGTGGACTACGACTTTTGGAGCACATTAAAAAAAAAGACTTTTTAGCCGAACCTGAATAAGCTTACTAATTCGTGGATCTTGAGAAATATGGATATGGTCAGTCCGTGGGTCAAATAAAAATTTATTAAAAATAAAAAATAAAATAGAGTATTAAAAATAAAAAGAGTCTAAATTCAAAATCTGATTAAAGTTTGAAATATTACAATCAAATCCAAATTATGCTAATATGTAATACATAAAATAAAAACTCAAATATGTAATACATAAAATAAAAAAAACTCTCTAAAATTTCTATGGAATCACAACATAGGTCGTACCCTATGGAATATTGTCATAATTTTATTACAATCATTGAAAAACAATTAGATTAATATTTCGATTTAGCTATTTATGCTTTTACTTGAAATCAAATTTAATAAATATTATAAAGATAATTTTATTTGTGAATTTGATTAACAAACAGTGACACTAACACCATGTAATATTGTCTTGTCTATATTAATGATAATATTTTAAAATTATAATTTAATTTAAAAAATTATAAAAAATATATTTTTAAGAAAAGAGGACTGGCCCGGCCAACCCGTAGCCCATATACTTGTGGGCTGGGCCAATCATTTTTTGACCCACATAAAAAATGGGCTAGCCTGCTCAAACCCGTAAAATTTTGAAGCCTGTATGGGGGTAGATCGATCCATATTGATAGCTCTATTAGTGAATGATTAATTTTAGGAAAAATTGTATATAATAGTAAACTATTAATTCAAATTAAATGCTATAAATATAGTTTGATTTAATTGTACCTTATAGCAAACTGTTGCTATTTCACCTCGCTCTTGGTAAATTTCACTCACCACTCTCGTTCTCTCCCCACCTCTCTCATGTTTTATATAAAACACAAATGTATAAAATGCGTTTGTATAAAGTGAGAAAAAATTGTATATATACATATATTTTTGTTCCTCTCTCTTCCCTCTCCCAGATCTCGCTCACTCACCTCTCTCACTTTATACAAAAACGCAAATGTAGAAAATGTGTTTGTGTTTGAATAAATGGAGAGAATATATATGTGTGTGTGTGTGTGTGTGTGTGTGTGTTTGTGTGTGTGTGTGTGTGTTCCCCTCTCCCAGATATCACTCGCCACTCTTCCAGATCTTGCTCGCTCACTCGCCTCTCTCACTTTATACAAACACAAATGTTTACATTGTGTTGTGTTTGTATAAAGCGAGAGAAAATTGTATATACAAATACAAATGCATATATTTCGTCTTATACACTTGTGATTATACAAATATGATCTTCCCCTGCATAATTTTCTTTTGTTTTTCTCTCTTTCTCGCTTTACAAACACAAATTATACAATTCTTCTTTTGTATATGTGTACCAAAGCAGATTGTATAATTGTTGTCTTTTGTATATGTATAGCGAAATGATACAATTGCTTTCTTTTGTATATGTATAACGAAATATACATATTTATATTTGCTATGGAGCGCAATTATGCAAACTATAACTATAGCATACAAATATGATTTTTGTGTTTGTTATATGTGAAAGTTGCTCTTAATTTTATATATTACTATAAAATTTCAGCATGATATATGGTATTTAGTATTTATTTTATAAATACCAAATACTGTACCGAATACAAGAAAATTTAAAAAGTCATTCCAAATACTACATCAAATACCATAAGATCCATATCGTGGTATAAAAAATTTCAATTTCAATGTAAATTTGATATATACTATACCATGTCTACCCTAGTTGCTAAACACGTGCAAGTCATAGTGTTACTTTTGATATTTTGAAGTCTGCTCCTTTTTATCACTATAAACACTTAAGTTTAATAGAAGTGTGTTTCCTGTAAAAATTGTGATATTA